TAATAATAACAATAATAATAATCATGTCATGTCTAATTGTTTGTAGTGATACTTGAAAATATGTTTGAGACAGTGTTCATATCACTGCTGTGTCCTCACAGGACTTGGACTTTGAGAATTATTAAGCAGGAAGCCCAAAGCGATCGGGTCTAAATGGTCCAGATGAGCGGTGTAACTTCAAAGATTTTGCCTAAATGTAAACGTGCAAAGGAAAATGGTGTTTGATGAGCCGAGTTCGCTCGTCGTCTTATTCACTGTGTGTCTCCTTTGATGTTACAGGATCTTGGGAGTGAAGCCAAAATGTGACCGTCACGGAGCGACATTGTTTGGATCTCTCAAGCCTTTCCAACACTTGTTTCTATAGCAACAGAAAGAGCAGAGTATCCAAAAAAGTCCCATTCCCAGAATGCAGTCCTCTCAGCCTTCAAAGCTGCGGCGTTTTGACGTCAGCAGACGGACCAATAACTCAGCCGGACCAAAGTCTCACGGCCCTGGTTTTCAGAAAGAGGATAAAAACATGAACACAATCACTGCGTCCTCCCCACGCCGGGCTACTAAAGGCCCCACTGCAGCCACCAGGACCAGGGTGGCAGTGCAGCCTCGAGCTCCAGTGAACCCCTCCAGGTTTGGGGCTCAGAGACAGGTCCCCACCATCTCCAAATCGACCAAACCCAAACCCAAGATCACTCGAGCATCTGCAGCAACCAAGATTGCACCTGCAGCAGCTCCTCCTCCTCCTGCGATTCCATCTGTTCTCCCTCTTGACCCAAATTGCAACGAGCCGAGCCTCCCGTGTCTGTGCTGCGATGGGCGCTCCCCGCAGGACAACAACAGCATGTTCAACCACAACCACAACAACAACAACACCATCTCTATGAGACAGCAGCTACAGCTTCCTCCTCCTCCGGCCCCTGTGCCTCAGAGGAAGGATGGAAAAGGGGCCAAGGAGAAACCTCAACCTCCATCACAGGCAAAGGCCCAGCTGGAGTCGGCTTCCCACCCTGCTGCCAGTCTGGAAAACGAAGAGAAGAGCAGAGATGAAAGCGCTGATCTGGACAACAAGAAAAATGTGAAGGTAGAGGAAGAAGATGATGAAGAAGAGAGCAGTGGGGATATTGATATTGATGATGATGAAGAGGATGCTGACAATGATGATGACGACGATGATGATGATGACACTCTGGTCCCCTCCTGCTGTGATTGTCCCCCCTCCCTCCTGGAGTTCTCACTCTCCTCCTCTACCTCCTCATCCTCCACTTCCATCAGCTCCTGTTCTGATCTGGAGTCTGACTGTGCAGATCAATCTGCGTCCATCTGCTCTTCCCACGACCTAGAAAATCTTTCTGTCGCTCTGTCCCCCAAAGACCACTCTCTTCCACAAGGCCTTGAATCCAAGCCTCCAGCACGCTCACCTCCATCTCTCCCTCTTAGCTGCAATCCTTTCACCTTAAGGTCACGTTCCCCTGTGTCCCTGTGCTCCCCAGATGAAGGCTACCCCTCTGCCCTGGACTCCCCATCCCCTGATTATTTAGGAGTCAAAGGTGATACTGAGGTCACTAAACTAGGTTTGCTTGACTTTCTAGAATCAGTAGGGGAGTTTGGGAAGATGGAGCGCTTCAGCCAGGTAATCCAAGTGGCTCGTTGGGATCTGGAGGGGGAACAGCAGTGGGATGTTCTGAGGGATCGGTTAGATCACCTCGATCGCTTGGAGAAAGTGAACAGAGAGGTAAAGCTGGCCTACATCGCCAGACTCCATGAGAAGGGATTCGATCTCGGGGACCTGGAAGAGCAGGATCTCTCGGATGTCATGGATGAAATGGGCAACATTGACATTTCCTGGAAGTTGTATAAAAGTCGTGGGGAGATGATGACGGAATCTCAGGAGTTCTCAGATGCAGGGGTCGACCTCACCGCTCCGTCAGATTGCGATGATCCTCTCGTCCCAGATTCTCTCACCCCCTCCCCTGTCGAGCCACCACCCAGGCCCCCCAAACCTCCTGCCCGTCACGCCAGTGTGAGCTCTTACCTCCACACCTACATCAATATCAGCAGGGAGACCACCTCCATGGCTGTCTCCACCTCTCCTACATTGTCGACTTTCTCCCCTAACTCCTCCTCCCCCACATTCACCACTTTTAGGTGCGAGAAACCCCTACCTCCATCTCCACCGTGTGTTCCTCCTCTCCCTGCCTCTGCTCCCTCTAAACCGGTCCCTTATCTCACCCTCTATACTACTCCCTCACCTCCTAGGTCTCTTCCCACCCCAACTCCTCCCATCCCTCCCCCTCGGAGACGCCACCTCGCCAGGAAAGAGGCAAAGCGGCTTGCTGCTCTTAAAGCTGAACAGGAAAAGACCCCCCTGTCACTCCCACCCCCCACTACACGGCCACCGCCTCTTCCTCCTCCACCTGTAATCTCAATCTCCTCTTCATCTCCCCCTGCCATACCACCTCCACCTGTCCTGCCTCCTCCCCCCTCCTTCCACGCACTGGATGTAGAGATTCGGAAGCTGTTGATGCTTGCAGGATTGACCCAAGCTGAACTCCTCAAACTCAGCCCGGAGCTTGGTGTCTGTGTAGGAGGGTTAGAGGATGAGGAAGAGGGAGACACTCTTCCTTCATCTAGGTCTGTGGAATCATATGAGTTCAGACTAAAAGACAGGGAGGAGGAGAAGGACTGTGACAGCGATTTCATGGATAGAGATGGAGGCAGCAGAGGCAAGTTGGAAGGAGATGGAAGAGTAGATGTAGCTGGAGAAGGCGAGAAGACAGAGGACGGCAAAGACGCACAAAGAACCACCTCATTCACAGAGATGGCAAGAAGAAGAAAGAGGAACAGTGGTCTGACATCTGATCATTACTACAGCACCGGTCTTAGCAATACACATGAAAGTAAAGCAACGAACATGAGCTTTGAGACTTTCCATTATGCTGAATTACCCAATTCTCCTCCTCCTCCTCCTCCCCCTCGCCCCTTACCCCCAATCCCTCCGTCTTTGCCGTCCCTCAAAGTCAGCACTCTCCCTGCCAACTCTGCTCAACCTGAGCGATTTGATTGGCTCATAGCATTCACACCTGAATGTGATGCCCCACCGCAACCTCCACCCCTGGCAATGAGGAAATCTCATAAGGAAATCCAAAAGAAACCTGCTCCTTCAGGGTCATCTCCTGTGTCAGCTCCGATCGTCACAACCTTCAAAGAGCTGCGTTTCCGTAACAAGAGCGCCTCCCCTCCGACAAGGGTGATCATTGACCCGGAGCCTGACCCCACAGTCATCACGCCAGATCCAGACATACTCTACAACCTGAGGTGGAGGAGAGAGAAGGTGGACAGCGATGGCCTCCCGTGGGAGTACACCTCTCAGGCTCAGGCCCTGTTCATGCAGCCGCCACCAGCTCTCACCTCAATGGCTGCTCTGAAGGAGATGCTGCAGAGGGCCGATGAGCAGGGTAGACAACCAGAGCTGTGCCCATCACAGAAGATTGGCTGCTCGGTCAGTGAAAACAGTCTGTGGACCATGGGCAGAGAGTGGGAGGGCGAGGAAGTTCGAAGGGAGGAACAGGAAGGGAAGGAGGAAGAAAAAGAGGAGGAGGTGGAGGTGAGAGGACAAGCTGATGGAGGAAGAACCTTGAAATCAAGAACTACAGGTGAGTATGTGCTTAATGATCACGGAATTAATGATAAATAATGCAGATTCTTTTGATGGCTAAGTGGTTGCATTTTTTTGTGTTTATGGGATAAAATGGGCTCATCACATTATCTCAGTGCAAATTGGATGATGGAGATGATGGAGAGAGACAAATGGAGGAAAACAGAGAGTCATCTTGTTTATGTGTTGCACAAATTATACCCTAGGAAAGAATAGAAAGAAGTAATCTCTCCCAAAAAGGATAAAAGTATAGACTCATTTTTTGAGACAATGTAAATGGAACGAGAGCAAAGAGATGGAGGACCGGCATGAGTCACAGAAAAGGATGATGCGTGATGGATAAGTGATGACGAGGGGATGAGCAGTGGGTGAGTTCAGATGGGGGAGGAAAACGAGACAGTAGAAGCTGGAGATGGAACATGAGCAAGAGGGAGAGATGGAGGGACAAAGAGAGGGAGTGGGTAATGTGAGGAGAAAAGGGAGGTTGGAAACTTTCCAACGTATTTCCTCCAATGTTTATCTGAAAGTGATGTCATCACTGTCTTACTCAATTATTCATACACTTTTCAGACGGAGGAGAGGGGGGGCCCACTGAGTTCACCATCTTCCTACTTTCTCCCTCCAGCTCTTTTTTACATCTTTCTGTAAAATGTTAAACCCTTTCCCTTTTAAAAATCCCATCAGCTTGGGTTGTTTATATGCTCCTCTCTTACTGTGGATGCCGTCTCCTCACCCCCACCCATGCTCCCTGGAGTGGCACAGATCAAGTTACTCGTCTCATACAGTGCTGCAGTGGGCTGCACAGAAACCAAGGATTAGATTGTCAGTGTCCGGCTACAGTGGGATGGAGGTTCATTTTAAAAGGGTTCAACTTCCCTTCGCCCCAAGCTGCTGGGGATTTTCTTCGAGAAATATTTTCTGTGCCAGTTTTATAATTACTTTGGCATTATGTGTATTTTAGTTGTAAAAATCTAATTAATGTATGAGTTATGTGTTAGTTTCAATAAAATACATTCAAACTAACTATCAGCAAACTGCAGGTGAGGAAAGAGAAATGAACTAGAATAACTCTCTGAAGAGCACATACCTCCACCAAGGCCCCTTAAATTCAATCAAGCCTGTATCACACACTCATAGTTATATCTCCACTAAACCTGTCTGATCTTTTCATCTAGATCCATGAATCTTTCTCTTGGTAATTGATGAAAATGTTAAAAATGCCACATCTCACAGAGGTATAGAAAGTGATGAAAAAAAAAATCCTGGATCCGTGCCCCTGATCTAGATCCGCACCAATGTCTTCAGTTCAATGGTTTCTTTTCATTTTGGTTCTTTTCAAACAAACAAATACCAGTGAAAACATCACCTCCTTGGCTTAGGTAATAAAATGAATTAATACATTAATAAATAATATAATAATGTAAAAAATGTTCATAAAATAAACACTTTATAGGCAACATATATTTACTTTTTATGGCCTTCTTGTTGTTACAGGATTTTAATACTTGTTTTATACTTTTTAAATCTTTTATTAAAAACTTGCATTCATGTGTTCATGAATTTGTCAAGAATTCTCAATAGATTTATGAAGATAAGATTTTTCCTCAACTTTTCTGTAACGTTCTTAGAATAAAGTAAAAAAACGTAACAAGGTGTGTACACCTTTAAGAGCCCTGGGGGCGGATCTAAGTACACGGACCAATAACTGAGAGCCAGTGTGGGACAAACAGGAAGTATCATGTGTTGGTTTAAGCTTAGAAACAATCTGAAACAAGTCGGACTGTCCCTCTATCGTTCTCCTGCTCGGAGCTCAGCAGCCGGTCACAGGTCATCAGGAAGGTAATGACGACCGTGTGTCAGTCACAGTGTGAGACAGAGACACAGTGATGGAGCAGCAGTGGACAGAAGAAGAGACTCTGTCCGTCGACTGACTCAGCACTACACTGTGTACTGGAGGAGAGAGAGAGAGAGAGAGAGAAGCAGAGCGCAGAGGAGAGGGGGAGTGAGGGAGAGGGACGGGTGGCGAGAGAGGTAGAAAGCAAGAGAAGGAGGGAGAGGTACAAAACAAAAACAGAGAACAGTAAGAGAGAGGGGGTGGGGGAGGGAAGGAGCGAGGGAGAGGTAAAAAGCAGAAGAGAGAGGGAGAGCTAAAAAGCAAAACAGAAGACAGGAAGAGAGAGGGAGAGGTAGAAAGCAAAAGACAGGAAGAAAGAGAGTGAGAGGGAGAGAGAGAAGGTGATCCAGAGGTGATGAGGGCGAGCACTGCAGTAAAGCACTAAACATCTGGCCCTCACTGTGGTTCTTCATCTAAAATGAAAGTATGGAAGAGAAAGTGAGAGCAGCTGCCTGCAAATAAAACCTATAGTAAAATATAAATCTCTGTGATTGATGGTGGAGTTTTAACTACAGCCAACGAGCTGCTGATGGAGTGTTTCCTCTGTCTGCCCTGCTGCTCTCTTACAGCAGGGCCGTCACTGTGATGTCAGAGGGTCCTCAGTGAAATTCATGAATCAACTCCACTCGATTTGTCCTTTAACTATTTGACTTGTTAAGATGCTGTGTGATGTGACATGATGACGATTTCTTTAGACATTCATGAATGTGCATTTTTCTCTCGACTGACACTAACATTTTCTGCATCTCTCTCTCCTTCCCACTTCTTTTCCGAATCTTTTTGTCTTACTTTCCTCTTCCTTATTTTTTCTCACCATCCCCATTCTGTTGTTTCCATTGTTTGTCCATGGTTCCGCTTCGCTCCCTCATACCACTCCGCTTGTGCGCCCGCCCTCTCCATCTGCACTGCTGCACCTTAAAATCTGTGGCCTTTTTACCCTTCCTCGTGAGAAGTTTCCTCCCCCCCACTCTCCTTAGCCCAGGCCTCCCAACCCTACTTCCTGCACACCACCCTCCCTTCCTATCGCCCAGGCTTCTGTAACTCCCAGCCCCCTGCAGATCCCCGGCCCCACCACCACGTAGGCAGGGAGTCCTCAGACAAACACTGCGGCACACAGTGGACCCCCGCTGTCAGCGCAGCTTGTGTCTACAAAGATGATTCCAGCACTGATACGAGCTCTGTGTTTAACCACGACTCCCTGGCTGATGTAGCTGTAGACTCTCCTCGGGATTATGGGAATATCTGTAAGAAAAACACACGCTCGGTGCAGCAGTCCATCAGCGACTCCAAAACTAATGACGGGGAGTTTGACTCTATTTGTAATTTTGACTCTCTCTACAGTAGTGACTCAGAAAAGAAGAATTTCATACACACTAAGTCAGATTCACCTGTTAGTGGCGCCACTGAGGCCTCGGGCTGCACCACTCCGTATAAGAACATAGATGTCATGATGACGTATTCCAACGGCCTCAGTGCTGTGGATTCTTCACACGCACGCCACAGCAGCGACAAGGCCAGGACCTCCAAAGAGCTCCCCCCTCTCCCCACCTATTACCTGTACCACCCCAAGAACTGCCCTCTGCACAGGGGGGCTCCTCCCCGCCTCTCCCCTATCGGAGCCCTGTCCCCTCCGCAGCGTCCCGGAGCGCCCCCTCTGGGCACTGCAGGCTCTTCCCTCAGCTCACCGCTTTTCCCCCGCTCGCGCACCTTGCCCGCCCTTGCTGCTCCCCTCTACTATCCAAACCTCTACCCTCCTATACCCCCCAAGGCGCCTCCCCTACCCCCCAAACTCTACCAGGCTCCTCTGCAGTCACGTGTGGCGAGTAAGATTTCTCTCTCTCTCTCTCTCCTCTTTCCCCCCACATCTTACACACTCTCTCTTTTGTCTGACATCTTGCTTGCATGTCTGTCTGTCTGTCTCTTCTTCTGTCTGTCTCTGTCTGTGCTTTCGGCTCTCGATGTGGTGGCCCTCACACGTTTGCCACCTTTTCAACCCCTGGGGGATTTTGCAGATTTGAAAGTACTGGGTAACTCAAGCTGTTTTCTGTATCACAAGCCTGCTCCCTGCAGGTCATCTGATACTTCTTATCTCCACTGTCCTATCAAATCTGCAAACATCATCGAGAAGAAAAACAGCTGTTCTTGTTGGAGGGTGTCTCTCCTCTCTCTCCCCCCCTCTCTCTCTCTCTCTCTCTCTCTTCCGCTTCCGCTTCCTCTTCCTCTTCCTCTTCCTCTATGTATCTGACTGTCTAAGTGTCAGTGTTGTCCTGTCTGTCTCCATGTGGTTTTTGCACGTTGTGTTGAAATGGACACATGCATTTCATGCAAAGCTCAAACCAAGTAGCTGGTTGGTGGTGCTGTCGTGTAAATTATTTTTATTGAATTTATACCTTATTATCTTTGCGTGTGGGCAATTAAACCATCTAAGCACAGCATCCTGTTCATTATATGAATGTGTGCATTACAAAACTAGTTTATATAACTCCATTTATATTAACATGTATACAACACCCATCCTTTATTTTATCTTACTTGATTCTTGTAGTAGGTCATGCAATTGTTTCTCTTCTACCTAAGCAGTTTCTCCTGTGTGTGCTTTTATTAGGTGTGTTTTTGTGTGAGTGGATTTTAAAGCACACAATTGTGTTGATGCAGACGAGAAGTTGTTTTCACGGCTCCAGATGTTGAATGCTCACCACAGTGAAGCATTATTTACAGAATGCGCTCACACACTATTTGTCATCAGTATGACCATCTGCTTCTATCGGCCTTTATCCAATTGCTTCTCCACTGCTTAATTGCTTTTACTAACAACACTGATATTTGATTTACGCTTTTTTGTCTGTGGTGATTCATTTTGGTTCAGTTGATTTTGTAATTTTTTTCATAAAGTAATTTTTCTTTCACTGTCAGCTGTTCGCAGTGTCTCATTCGCCGGCTCTGTACAGAGGGCAGAGACGTCCTGGATGGGCGAAGATGTGAAGTTTCCGATGAGAGGTCTTGGCCTGTCCTCTTTGTGCCTGCAGGAGAAGAAAGGTGTGGTTTGTCCTCTGCTCAGCTGTGCATCTGTTTTCTTTGACCCAGCAATGACTTTCTATGTTTAACTGTACACCATTGTTCTCCTTCCAGCTCTGGTCAGTGCGGTCAGTGTGGCAGTGGAAGCCATTTTGGCCCAGTTCAGTTCCTCTCGGACTGTAGTTCAGAAGGTCAGTATAACTGCAAAAGTCACTGCTGATTTTTCAGTTTGAATGAATCTGGTTTTATTTTGTTTCACGTGAGGACATTCTTTGTTAGGATTTAGTATTAGGGCAAAATTGAAGGAAAGCAATTCTGGGACTTTGAGAATAAAGGCACAATATCACGAGAATAAAGACAAAAATATTTTTTTTAGTAAATAACCAGAAAGGAAAACTTTCTACACATTCTACTCCTGGATCCAAAATGTTGAACCAATTTCATTGTTTCATGAGAACTAAACCCTTTTGAAAACCACGTAGATGTAAACAGTGATAAACACACTATCAAACATTTCCTCCTCCTGTGGTTCTTTCTTCAGCATAGACACTGTTTCTTGCAAAGTCCTGATACTTATGTTAATGTGATGTTGTATGAAGTATTTTGTTATTTGAGAAACCTTAACTGAAGTATAACTTAACAAGTTGCTCTATATTTCTCATTTTGACAAACGTGACAGACTGATATTTAGATTTTCTGATATTCCACCTCTAAAATGGCATGTAGCCTAAATAATGACTTTGTTCTTGTAGTATTTTCACTATACTCTTTACGTAAAATTTAGACTATATTCTCGCAATATTACAACTTTATTTTGTTAAATTAAAAATGTATTCTTGTAAAGTTATGACTTTTTTGTCACAAAATTTTGACTTTATTCTCTCTACTCTTTGCCGTACTTTCTCCAAATGAATGTCTCACATTGCGAATGACCAATCTCTTGATAACTAGAAACAAAATGTCATATTGTGATAAAAGAGTTGTTTGTCTGAAAATGACTTCCCTTCCTTTCTTTCTCATTCTGACTCTACATATCGTCTCTCCTCAGTCTCTCTCAGTTAACAAGGTACTAGAATATTTTTAGATAACCCAGACTCATTGTTGTAATAATTTCTTTTTCAACTAACTCCCACCCCAAATCACCTCTTATCACGTCATCCGTCTCTCCACCCACCTCCTTCCCTCCTTGTTTTGAGTCATCCTTTCTGATCTCTCCCCTTGGCTCTCCCTATCACTGCACATCGCTTTCGTCATCCTATCCTCTTTTTACCACCACTATGTGTTCATCCCATTCTCCTCATCCCTCTCTCCTCTCCTCCTCCTCTCAGGCCTTATCAGGAGACAGCACTATAAATCCATCTCTGGGCCGTCTGGTGCTGCAGTGCCTCTGCCACGCCCTGCACAACTTGCTGACCGATGGCTTGAAACCCCATCAGAGTGACCTGATTGCCGGCAGGAGGCCAAACTCTGCATGGGGTCTCGTCCAGGCTTCAACCAAGCCAGGTATTATAACAAGGATCCCCACAGAGGCTTTAGTTTAAGATTTGAATATCGGGCTGCTCATTCAGTTGGGTTTATTTCCTGGGACATAATAATAAGCTCTGGAGTTTATCCCCCTCTTATTTCCCAACGCATCAGCCGATACTTGTTGATTCACATCTAAAATGCTGAATAAAGTGAACAGAAGGATGCAGATATTGATTGGCCCACAAGTGCCAAGCTTCACAGCAATTTTTCATTGACCATTCTTAGTGCCTCGGCTAACCCCTCTCTCTCTCTCTCTCTCTCTCTCTCTCTCTCTCTCTCTCTCTCTCTCTCTCTCTCTTTATGTGTGTTTTCTTCTTCCACTTTTCAGGCCCTAAAACACAAGCATTGTTCAACCTTCAAGTTCGGGTTGGGGAGTTGCCGCAGCTCAGAAAGAGCAAACACAGGTTCAATGCATTCCTCCTCGGTCTACTGAAGTAAGTTTCCCCTCTGGCTCCACTGGTTGCATGAAAATATAACGTTATATTATATAATAATTAAGGTTTTGTTCTTATTCTCAATGTCAATTTCCCTGCACACAAATTCAAATTTTTCTTTTTCTCTGCATTTTTTCCTCCAGTATCAAGTTTCTTGATTTCTGGCTCTCTCACCTTCAGTCTTGCGGTGGTAAGTTTCCCGTACTTCACTGTTTTGAGCATGAACACAGCTAATGGTCTTTGCACAATGTTTTATTATTCTATTTGTTCCAAAACGTCACAGTAGGAGATAAAATGGAGCCGAGCAGTGAGGAGGATTTTGTGTCTCCTCTCACTTCTTTAAAAATGAAAAAGAAAACATTGGGTCCATTAAATTCTGAGAAACCTTCAGGAACGAAGAGAATATCATCTTCTGATCAAGGAGCTAAGAAATTATCCCAATCGCTTCCAAGTCTATTTCAGGATATCAGTGGTCCAGTTTGATATGCTATAAGCACGGAGATTAAAAGAAGAAGAAAACAAATCTCTGTGAGTCAATTGATCCTGTGCAGCTCAAACATTCTCTGGACAGTCTTTGATGGACGCGAAAAACACAGCAAATCAAACCTGTTCCGAGAATGTTACAGACAGATCAAAGTGTTGGTGTGTAAACTTGATCGACACATCGTGAGGTCGTATTTATTTTTTAAAGCGTACGTCAATTTCAGACGGAAGATGAGGACTGAGCGTTCAAATACCTTGACAATGATTTTTTTTCTTTTCTTAGATGTGTTGGAGACATTCTACTGTCCCTCCTCCTTCATGCGTCTGTCCCTCACCACCTGCCAGCCTCTGTTCGAGGAGCTGCTCCTGGTGTTGCAACCTCTCAGCCTGCTCACCTTCAACCTCGACCTGCTCTTCCAGCACCACCACTTAGAGCCAGACAGTCACAGCCCAGAGATCCCTAGTCCGCCCTGTCAGGACGCAAGGTTCCAGATCTCAACAAAGGGCTCCCAGTCCAAAATCACAGGCAGCAGATATATTGAAAGCCTCTCAGAAGTGGACTTTGGAAGCCCAGAACATCAGGCACCTACAGACACATTTTCACCACAGGCTCCAAATCCAAAGAACGAAGGATCACATGTCAGTGCTGCACCCGTAAAAGCTTCGGCCACTCTCATCCACACAAGTCCTCAGCTTCAGTGGGTGCAGGAGAAGGAGATTGGAGCGTTACCTCCTGATGTTGACGAGGACAGCATCGCTCAGCAGGCAGGACAGGTAACCTCTTCCGAGTTTAATGTTTTTGATCAGTCAGATTCCTGCAGGGCTGATGTTCTGTTTCTTTAATCACAGGTGATCCAGCAGGGGTGGGGTGCTGTAATTCGCTGGGGAGGCCGACTGCAACAGAACCTGGCTGAGCTGAGTCTGTCTGCAGGGAAGAGGGAGGAAGTGAACACTGATTTACCGGAACTCCAGACAAGCAGCGACTACACTCCAGTCAGCAGTGGTGCTCAGGTTCCCTGGGGTCTGGGTCGACTGTTTGGAGCCTCTAAAGGCCCCAGCAGCCCGACGGGTCACACGCCGCCAACCAGGTAAGCCAGTGAATGTGAAGCCATTAAATATGTAATGAAAATTTTTACTATATCGCTCCTCACAAATAGACTGCATGAGATGTATCTGTCTATGATCCAAGTCTGTGTGCGATTTCTGTTTACAAATACTCCGTCTCTCTGCAGGCGTCCCTCTCAGTGGTTGGCTCCCGGTGTCACGGCACTGACTCGGATTATGAGCAGCCATCCCGCTCATGTAAAGACGGCCCCGGAGCCTCAGGGAGAAAGTGTGCCAGAGTCAGAGAAAGACGGCGAGTCACTGGAGATGAAGGACAAACCCAGACCACTCAGGTACATGAGGGACATTTGAAGTGATGGAGATTTTTAACATTAGGGAAGGGTTTTTGCTTTGCTCCATCCCCCTATCACTAGTGCACAGACTCTGTTGGTCGATGGTTCGATACGATATATTTTACCTTCCTTTTAAGATAGTGGGAGGAAGTGTTGACATGTCGTCCATCTTTGTAAACACTCTATGGCTGAGACAGAATGACATTGGGTGGGAAGTGATCAGACAGATCAGACTGTGTCTGTCCTTCAATCCATTATCCCTTTCTGTTATCACTTCTGTCTTTGAAAATGGTGACTCACCTGTTTGACTTTGAGTGATCTTGTATTGTGACTCATCCGAGATCGGGCTACATCATTAGCTAGACATGACGTACTTGTTTGCGGTTGTTGTTGCTTCATTTTGACCGCTCTCTGCTGTCTGTCCTCAGGTCCGTCCGAACGCTGTGTGACCACTCTGGAGCAGGTTCGGAGCTCAGCTTCTGCAAAGGCGAGGAACTCCTGGTGTTGGGAGGCGTCGATCAAGACTGGATTCGCTGTCGTCAGGGAGACAAAGAGGGGCTCGTACCTATCGGCTACACGTCCCTTATCATGTGACTTTGGCGCCATAACAACTGCACTCAATCAATAATGAAAAAAAACAAACAAAAAAGTATATATTTGAGTATTGAGAGGTTACGGTGAGGCTCCTCTACTCTGAAAGGGATATTTTACACTTTTGCTCGGTTAGAGTTTGAGTTGAGTGCATAACACCATCTGCTCTGCTTTGCGTTCATCACGAGCAGACTGCAGCCCTCTCCCTTCATGAACATAAGGGACGTTTTTTTTTTGCCATCACAATCCATCCAGTTTGGTAGCAACTAATGGATCTTAGCAGCAGGATTGCAGCAGATGGTGTGAAATAATGACTCAAGTCAAATTTAGACCATTTCACACAGGAAGATCGTTGACGTTGGAGTGAAGTATCCCTTTAAATGCCCTTTTTTCCCATAGTGTCTGCCTTCCTTGCCTTTAGCCACTGATTTGAAAATGATCACAGGGGGATAATCTGCGCAATCAACCAATGGCGCGTTTTCAGATCAGCGGCTGCTTGTTGTGAGGAGGCGGCGGTCGACAGCCTGATGGCAGCCACGTAATTATCTCTATTCGTCAGCAGCATAGAGTCGTGGTCTGCGGGTTGTCGAGTGGAGGAAGCATGTCAGAGTACTGGGCTGTAGCTCCTGTTGCATACTGCGTAGTAATGTTGTGAATTGTAGCTGTGTACATCTGTGCTCTATTGACCTTTCACCCCTATTGACCTCTCACCTTTATCGCCTGGTTCATGTGTGTTTGACATGTTTCTGCTTCTATATTTGACTGTAAAATATACATAAAATATATAAATATAAATATATATATAGGTATATATATTGAGATTATTACCAAGATAGATAGAAAGATAGATGAAGATGAAGAAGCAGGTGGTGAAAGACGAGGACGTGGATGAGTAATAATGGAAGGATTATTTCTTTGTCTTTACATCTACATCTTTTCTTATACATCAGGTGGTTGTCATACATGCAAAAAGAAAGGTGTGTGTGTTTGTTTTAAGTATGAAATCCAACATCTTCCCTCTTTTGTGCTTTTATCGTCTTGTCATCATATTTATCAAATTATTAGACATATAGTATTATTCATACCTGTGTGCATCGTAATGTGCCATTAATGCTCTGAATTAATGCCAGAAAATACCCATAGAGCCATAGACGAATATCTGACAACAGCAATCTGTAGCTTTTCTCTCCACTCGTCCAAAACCTCACAGGCCGACGTGGGTCGAAGTGAAAGCCTCTCACAAAACTGAGCTCAGCTCTCGTTCAACACTATCTAAACTTAACACTTATGAGGGAATCCATTTATAACGTAACCCGTACCTGCTACTGTAAAGTCTGTGGGTTTGGTGGCTGGTCTTCACCTCGTACCTCAGCTCTTTGTATTTAGCGTAATTCCTGCCATGTTTGCTGATCATAATCATTGATATTAATGATAGTGGTAGTAGAAGTGGTGGAAGTGCTTTGTTGATTCTGACGTTGAAATATGTTGCTTTGTGTCATATATTTATTAGTTATTCTCTAGATTCTGTATTTATGACTATGCATATGGTTAAATGTACAACAAAAACACCTTTTTCGTTTGTTTGTTTTTCGAAGTCATAATTTTAATTTAATGCTCTCATGCATTTAAATTCTAAAGTAATAGTTTAAATAGTTAAAAGTTAAAATAAGAGTCTACTCTAAAAAAGAAAAAAATGTAGGACCTCAGTTAATTCAGCAGGAAAGTTTCAATGCAATTAATCAGGGAAAAATTCAGTCCTTCAAAGTTTCCTCATCTTTTTGTGTCACTGCCATGTAGCATGAGATTAGTGTCACTACGGCAACAGTCCAGTAGCATTAAATTAAACCAGTGCTCATAACTTGTAACTAATCATCACAATCAAATGCCATCAAATGGATATTACATAGATGTTTACAAGAAAAAATGTCCAGATAGATATATATATAAAACATCATTTCACACATTGACACATGTTGTGTTAATGCCTTTTTTTGGTTTGTGAATATTTGTTTCAAAAGTGAGATTATATTCTAAAGGCATTTATTTTGAAAATCATTAATTTATTGGATGTGCTATTTATTGATTATGAGGTTTTTGAACGGGATAGCTCTCTATCTGACCCATCTAGTGTCTCTCTATCTATCTGGGTGCTGTATGGGTGTATGTGAGTGTGTACCTGGCAGCGTGTGAGGCAGTGAAAGCAGGGATGAGTGTCTGCACATCCTGCACTTTCACTTGTGTGTGTGTTTAAGTGTACTGTACCCCCCTCTCTCCCTCTTCTCCTCACCCTCCTCTCTTTCTCTCACTGGTGTCATGTAGCCTGTAGACATCCCCCAAGTATCCTACTATTGCATTTAGTTGAGTGCCCCCCTAGTGTCAGTCACTGTCCACCTCCTGCATGTGCTTGTTTGTAAATACACCAAATAAAATGATCAGTATAAACTGAACTTTTTCAGCAGTTTGAGTCGTGTTTCTGCACCGTTAAAGTTTTATTAATCAGGGATTTGTGTTGTAGGAACAACTCATTTGAGAAAATCACACATCCTATGTTTGTTGTTGACTGAAATACTGTATGACAGGAAGCTACCTGAATGTGTTAGACTGCAAAGGAAATGAAGAGTCACAATGGTGCTCACTGTTATAACCTAACTAAACACTGCGTCCTGTTTACGCTTTAACTTCAGGAGATTCCCCGTCACGTCTTTGCCTGGATACAACGTCCCAGGACGCCCTCGGACGTTGTGAAGGGCAGAATGAGTTGAATAAATCTCCCAGGGTGAGCTGCAGCCCTCCCCCATCTTGTAACAGGGTTCTTTTGACAGTGTCCTCCATTGTGGGTCATTATGGAGGACAACACGGGGTGAGATATACAATCTGACACCACTAGATAGCACTGTTAGCTCAAGCTGATTAACATCACTGCACCAGAAACACACACACACACACACACACACACACACACACACACACACACACACACACACACACAAAACAGGAAGGAGGTTCTGTAACTGACACGCAGACTCTGCAGGGTTTAGTACTAGTCGACATAAAATGCTTTTATTATTATGGATATAGAGGCGAAACATCTGAGCTGACATTCTATGGCGTTGAGTTATAACTGTTCTTGATGTTTTGTTTTCAGATGCACGTTATCGGAGGCAACAGGCAAAGGTTACATGTCATGCAAACTAGATAAATAACTCTGTATGTGTGTACCTTTGCTATAAAGTTAATCATCCACTGGCAATAACGTAGTGCTCTTAGTTAAAAAAGGAAAGAGGAAAAATATACGTACGATATGTAAACAGTCAAAGAAATTGCACTTTCTTGGCTTGTAACTAGAAGCCGCACTACAGAAAAGAGAGCGAAAAATGTAACACTGGAAAAACTAATTCACTGTCACTGATTGTCTGACCAGTTAAAAAAAGGAGTATGCTCGGCTAAAAAAAAAGAAATTATGTAATTCTACAAAAAAATCATATACAATCATAGTCATTTTTAAGGAGAAATGTCTGATATATTGGTCAGCTGTATATCTGCTTTAAAAACATCTTAGTAAATGATAGATTTGATTATAACCCTTATGTATAATCCAGATAGTATTGTCAGGTATAATACTAATTTTACACGCTACTGCAGATAGAAGGAAAACAGGTCTCTCTCTATATACATTCACATGTAACTAAACGTTTATGGTTACTCGGCCGATGCTTCTAAGATGAAAACAATCTACAACGCATCTGTACAGAATAATCAACTTCGAATATTCACAACTTAAAAAATAAAAAAGAAACATAACAAAGGGAAGTCCTTATATAGTTCTTATCAGAAGAGATATTGCTTTTAAAGACTGCATGAGTTCACTTAGGTACATACACAAGACAACATGGCACTTCTACAGAGCATTTTGGGGGCAAATCCGTTTTTCATTCCCTTTCCTCTCGTCTTTCTCTTCCTCCCCCTCCGACGACATTCTGATTGTCAATGCTCTGGAGCAAAGAGCGAAACATTCTCAAAGGCAGTCTGAAGTAAACAGACACACTTTTTTTTTTTTTTATACTTTTGTCACCCCTCTCCCTCCCTCCCTCACCCAGGAAGCAATACTGAAAATAGTCAATAACAATTAAACATTCCTATCATGAATATATTTTGTCCATTTCTGCTGGAGACAGTTCTCAAGCTGCCATCTCTCTTTTTTTTCTTTTCAAAAATAACTTCTTTCTTAAAACCTCATTAGAAATTCTCTTGCGGCGAGGCCAAAATTCCTATCGCTAAGCCCGCCCCCCTCCCCTGCCTATTCACTGGTACATAGCAGACACTGTCTCGGTAAAGTGAAGAAAAAAAAAAACCCTTAACACTGCCTCAACAGATTTTTAACTGGCTCACTTTCTTCTCATGTCGTTTTCCCAAAGGTGCAATGTGACTTTGAAAGCCTAACAAGCAAAAACGAGGGTTCAATTTTGACCTACTTAGGTGCCCAGGCTACATTTTAGTTCCCCCAGGGGCAGTTTCTGAGCTCCTCGTCTCGCCGAAATTCTGATTACTTTACATACGTCCACTTTCAATCTGTGAGCAAAGGTCTCTCTCCCAGTTTGCTTAAGGTGCTGAAGTAAGAGCAGTCAAAGTGTATGTGTGTGTGCATTTATAGTGTGTCCACTCAGCATACATACAGTCTTTAGTGTGCTTGTTCATCCAGCACTAGTGCAAATTCATCTCAGCTGGTCTGTTTCTCTCTCTCTCTCTCCATCCGGGACAGTCTTTCTCCACTTCTCTCATCCCTTGGACAAAAGATGCGTTGCCATGGTTTCATCCTTGGTGTGATGCCCTTCAGAGCACTGGGTTCAACACACTCATCTGTTCATGTGCGATTTGTCTTTCTGGCATTTTTCAGCCTCTGTGATTCTCCGGCTCTCTTCTCCTTTTCTTTCTTGCGGCACTACCACTGTTGATAGCAGTGCCGTGACATCAGTTTGGTGTCTGTCCGGTGGTGGGCCTGGTCCCCTTTGCAGAGTGGTCCCACCTACATGAAGGCAAGATACTATCAACAAAACAATGCATATACATCTCAGAGTCCTCTTCCTGTTTGTGTTGCTCTGCTTACCTCCCTCCGTTAGCTTATGAATGCTGCAGGGTCAAAAGTAAATCGTTGAGCCGTCTCCTCCTCTGTTCTCTGCTGCAGACCTCTTCCTCCCCTCGACTTTCCTTCCTTCCCTCCTCCTCCTCTGGTCTGTTCTGGGTTTTGTGGGGCTGTGGTGAGCAAAACAGATTTTTATCGTCTTGGAGATTTGCATTCATAAAAAAGGAATTACGTATTTCTTTCCGTGGGTAGCGTTGTTGACTCACAAAGGGGCAGGCAGTGAGCGAGCTGGAGGTGTCCTGACTCTGATGCAGGGGGTCACTGCTGATAACCGTCACCTCCACCCCCACTGGCTGATCTGAGGGTCAGAGGTCAAACAGCGGACTGTATGTTAGTGGAGTCACTGACATATCTATAATTATGCTAATGTACTTATTTCCCCTTGATTCTTATCCACAATCAGTCAGGGAGGCTTTGGTGGAAACTGTGTGGTTTCACTGCTAATGGGGAAAGTTGATGCCTTCTGGGTTTTTGGACACCAGGAGGGGATGACAGAAATGGGGAAACATTTCTGCAGGCTGAAATTCTGTGGTTGGAAAACTGCTTAGTTTGTGCTGCTGACTGTGATATGGAGAGACAAGCCAAATATGAAGATGACGAGCTGTGAGCAGAACACACACGCACACACATAAAGTTAAAGACACAAACACAGGACACAAAAGGGAGTCCATACACGTGTACAGTATGAAAATGTCTAGAGATGAACCACCTATGCATACACGAACACCTACAGAAACGAAAACTAACACACACACTTGCTTCATGGACCTGACTTGATGTGGCTGTCGTCCCCACTGGCTCCGTCGCAGGACAGATGCCGAGAGTCCGTCTCCTCCCCCTCTGCATCTCTCTCCCTCTCCCTCTCCCTCTCTATCCTCAGTCGGGTCTGTCTGTCTCTCACGAGCTCCCAGTTCCTCACGAGGAACACGTGGTGTTTCACCACAAAGCTCCTGGCCCGACAGACAGGGAGAGAAATTAGCCGTCCACGCTGACATCAAGTAGTTTTATCCTGAAATGTGAGTCCCTGCGTTGTCTCCATACCTCTCAGTGCTGGTCAAAGGCTCCATGTTGAGGTGAGGGAACAGGCTGGTGATGTCACTGGAGCTCTCCTCCTGTACAAGAAAAAGCAAATGGAGGGATGCGTGTGAGTTTTATAGAACAAACTATTTAAGTTTCACTCTTGGACATTGCTCCTCATGAACTTACCGCCGTCTGGTGAGAGGATACAGATCTCTCCTTCAGTCGGCCTGTGGCAAACAGAAAGAGAGAAAGATATCATAGGAGAGAATTGATCAGACCCATCAACTAAACCTGACGACAAGTCATCAAACTAGAATGGCCTTCCCCTTTTAAAACCACATCTATATTCACTAGATGAAATCAGTCATTTTTGCTTAATCCTGTCTAACTAACAAATAAACACAGATGAAAACATAACCTCCTTGGTATCATGACTCACAGTAACGCCGCTTCCTCTTCAGTGGGACAGCAGGCTGGCTGTGAAGCTGTAACCACATAAGATGAGAATTACATCCCTGTGTAATTATTACACTCTAAAAATCTACTTTTAACTCTGTCCTCTCTGTACGATGTAGTGCTATATACCTGGTTGTTCTGCCACAGCCACATAACATCGTAGGGTAACTGGAAATGAATCCGCTTCAGCCTCAGGTACTTCCCTTGAGGACGCAGACGGAGTTTAGATGGACGATCACAGCTGCGACAAAGTAAAGCAGTGTTTGCATTTTCTTCTCTACTTACCGACATGTATGGGAGCAGGTAAAAGTGTGTACTCATGCTCCCCAGGTGTGTACTCCAAACTCTCTCTGCAAATCTGCTGGGCTTGAGAGGGGGGGCTAGGAGAGACATACCAAAAAAATAAATAAACAGAAAAGTTGACAATGTAAAGATTATTAGAATAGCTTGTTTATGAAATCTACTCACTCTGTAGTTTTATAATCATCTGAGTAAAGACCCGCCCTCAGAAACATTTTCCTGGGAGGACTATCAGCTCTCTCCTCTCTTTGGATGGTTACTGGCTGTGACGGAGCCTGGTCCACATCCGTTTGTTCGAAACATTCAGGGAGGGCGTCACACTCGGGATTATCCACAGTGACACTAAAAGGAAAGCATGAAGAGAGAGAGATAGAATGATAGAGAGGAAAAAGAGAAAGAAAGAAAAGGCACTGGTTTAGCACACAGTGCTGAAAACAATAGGTTAATATAGCGATAGTGAGTGGTTGTATTGAATTTTCAAATCAACCAGCTCAGGTTCCCTTTTGATGCAATTGTGAGCGTTTACCTCTGATGACAGGGAGAGTCACCGTGTTTTCTCTTCCGCCCTCTCTTCCTCCGAGCCTGCAGCTCTGAATCTGTCACCTGCTGCACCGCGTCGCCTCCTCGATCCCTCTCTGGCAACCGTTCATCTTTTCCCCCTCCCACTTCTTGTCCATCTCTGTTGTGGTTGTGTCCTGGCAAGAGGTCGAGTGATGACATGGAGGGAGCTGCGGATGGGTGTGGGGGGGGCGATACAGTGAAGGGCAGTGGGTGCTTCCTGGGCCGTCCTGGCCTTCTTTTGTTTTTCACTGCCACACTGTCTGGTCTTGGCACACTTTTCTGCTGCCCCCGGCTTCTTGAGTCACCTTGTAAACCTGCCGTCATTGAGATACATAGAAAGAGGGAGGGAGGGGGTGAGGCAGGAGGGGAGAGTGGGGTGTAAGTGGTGGAGAGGAAATGAGACAGATGTGGATCAGTGATTGAGGCAGCAGGAGGTGTGAGGTGAGGCCAGTCTAGGCTTAGTCATGTGGACGGGCCGCAGATTAGGTGAGTCACAACATTTCCTCTGAACAGATCACTTCTGGGAAATGCATTAACAAGTGATTTATGTACACACACACACACACACACACACACACACACACACACACACTGTGCTGCATGCATACTTTTCACTGTGAGCATGCACACGTATAAACTCTTGCACACAAATTGTTTTTGCCGATTCAGTTAATATGGCAAAAAAATCTCAAATGGCTGAGCAGACAGAGAGAGAGATTCAAAACGTGTGTGTGATTGTGCTCATGCTAGCACGCTGTACTTGAAAACAGATGACGGTTAGATGACGAACTGATGTCAAATGAATTCCACAAAAACAACACGCTTCCCTCACAAGTTCTCTTTGCCCCAGCTCTGACCCCCCCATGCTTTTCCTTCATCAATCACTCCTCAGGTCGTTCATCTTTTTATTCAATTTTCCACAGTCCCTGACAAGACTGACCAATCGAGCCTTATTGGATTTTTCCAAGTCAAATAGGCCGCTGTTGGCCGGCAGTGAGGGATAGGCCAGGCTTTAAATAGCCAATTTGGTGGTTAACTAATGACTGTGTTCACTGGGTAGCCCGGGGCTGCAACAGTGTGCGGTTCGCTACAGACCGGGAAGATTTCAAAGATTTTCTGGCAGATTCCCATCGAGATGCTGCTCCCTCCTACTCTAACACTATATAAAAATTCCAACAGAGAGTAGTTGCTGACTGGTTGCATTTGTGTGTGTGTGTGTGTGTGTGTGTGTGTGTGTGTTAGGCACCTCCCCTGCACAGCAGAAGGAGTCTGAAATTGACTATAAAAAGTCTGATTTCCTCTCAGACACCCTCCAAGGCTTTGATGTGAGCACAACACCTGAGAAAAAGCCATGCTGTCACTATATTGGGTAAACTCTTGGTGCCACACACTCGTTTCTGTGCAAATATAAAAATCTGTCATGCTAAGCCACTGTAAAAAGACTCTTGGCAGAAAACTTATTTACTCAACTAGCTGTCACAATTTGGTTGCTATTGTTGTATTTCAATGGTAGGCACAGTTGATGTTAGATCCCCCACATCATCGAAATGACTGCCAGTGTTCTAAATATTCACATTTTTTGGAGATGAAATAATGAGCTAATACAACTGCGAATACAATTCAAAACAGTGCTACTACATCTAAGTGTGAGCAACAACTTTAGCACTACTGCTAAAATAACCTCATTTGAATCCAACAAGCAGAAACACAAATATGTCATTGATCTCTTCATTCACATATTTATAGATTAAGTCATTCATGCATCCTCACCTGCTTCTCTCCTCTCTCTCCAAGCTGGCTCATCTCTCCTCCATGACCTCTCTTCACTTCCTGAATTCCTGCTGGCCAATCCACTCCTTGGGCCCCTCCCTCCTGCTGCTATGGCGGCAGATGTGAACAGGTTGGTGTGCGTTGGGGAAGGGGGCGTCCTGTACAGGTGGGACTCTTGAAAGTCCTCACCATCTTCGTCCTCTCCGTCCGATGCGATCACTCCGCCTGTACGTTGCTCCGCAGTGAAGCCCCTCCAGCTGGGGTTTGAGTTTCCAAATCCTGGCCCTCCCAGGCTGCCAAATTTCATCCAGCTCTGACCCAGGCCGCCCCAGCCTCCTCCAAACGAAGACAGGTGAGAAGAACCCAGCCCCAGTGAGGTAAGAGACATGTGTTTGTACCTCTCCGCTGAGGAAGACGATGATGATGATGTGGCAGCAGTCGCAGAGGAAAATGAATCATTTCCATTCTCACACAACCAAGGTGATTCTTTGGAAAGCATGCTCCCCATTCTTCTTGCCCCTTTCCTTCCTACGTCTCCTTGCCCCAAAATGAACCCAGACCTGGACTTGGAACTGGCCAATTCCTCTCTCTCCATGCTGTCTTCGTCCTCGTCCCCATGTAACTCCTCCTCATCATCATCCATGTCTCGCTCACAGTGCCGGTGACGATGTTTATGTTTGTGTTTGTGATCGCTCCTCCCACAGCCACAGGAAAGGCTGGGTGTGAACCCTGAGCTGAGATGTAGGCCTCCACCACCACCTCCTCCTCCTATATCTCCCTCAACCTCTCCTCCTAACGCTCCTTCTCTCAGCAACCTGCTCCTGCGTCTGTGGAATCTGGCAGGGTTGAGGAGGAAGTGGGCATGGTGGGGCTGATGGGTGGCATACTGGTGAGGAGAGGGAAGCTGGTAGGAGCTGGGGAGGTGGTGGTAAAGTGTTGTGGCTGGGGGATAGCTGCTGTAAAAGCCCATGTTTTCAATGGTCTCCTGAAACTTTGAGGGGCAGCCACACTGCCTACGATCAGGCTTCCTGTTACAATGCACTGGCTGGCAGGGGTAGAAAGGCTGGGGGGAGAAGGAGGGATTAGAAGCGTATGACGAAGGGTGAGGAGAGTAGAAACCATTCAGATTGATCCTGAAGATGTTGGAGCGGAGAGGATGGGAGGAGGGGTGATGGCGCCTTCCTCCAGCAGAAGTCCCACTCCCATCAAAGCCCTGTCCCAGACCTGTCCTCACCCAACTTCGCCTTCCGATGTGGACCTCGCTGAATTGACCGATCAGGTCTTCGAGTTCAGCCAGAAACTCTGGATCCTGCATGTGCAACTGCTGGTGCTTCTTCTTGTGTTTATTTTTCTGTCTCTTCAGTGCATTGTGCCCGAGGCAAGGATAATAGTCTGAATGACTGCACTTATTGTGTCCTGGGCAGGGGCACAAGCACGTACAGGAAGAGGAACAATCATAATCTCTCCGCCTGTGCCGGTGTCTGTCTCTGTGCCGCTCCACATTACTTGAGTTGCTGATTGAGTTTGTGTGTCTGGGGATATGAGAGGGGGGTGAGGAGACAGGAGAGGGATGGTCCACAAGAGAGGAGGGGTGTCTTTGACCCCCAAGCATCACTCCTGACCCTAACCTGAGAATGCCTCGAGCTCCCCTCATCTCACCTCGCTCAGAAACACTGTTGTTATCTGTTCCGATACCGCTGTCACTAGGGAGTGTCTCTTCGCTGTGTGATTCGCTCCTGGGGGAGGGGGTGGCGTCTTTGAGGTGGCCAGGGGAGCCAGGTGTGTGATGTAGTGGCGGGGTGGGACATGAGAGCTTACATGTAGACTGGTGAAAGGGGAAGTGATGCCTTCCCTGACATGGACAACTCTTTTTTACAAAGGGAGAGAGGGAAGAGGAGGAGGGAGGACGCGGGGAGGTACAGGATGATGATGGGGAAGGGAGGGAGAAGGGGTGAGGAAAAAGCAGGGAAGACGTTGGTTCTGCCAGGCTGCCCTCACTGTAGGGACTCTGGGCCCCACTAGAGTGGGTAAGAGATGGGGAGGGAAATGGGTGAGAGGCAGGAGGCTGGGGTTGGTTGGATGAGAAGAGAGATGTTTCAGGAGGATTGGTAAACAATTGAGCAGAGCTCTGGGAGTTGGAATTCAGGTTAGCTGTTTGGACTTTAGGCTTGCGTCCTCGTCTCTTGCCCATGTAGATGGTCCCTCTCTTGCTCACATTGATCTGAGGGCCCAGCTTACTCCCAAAGGAGGAGGACAGGGCTGAGAATGTATGTACTGTCGTAGCCTCTATTGATTTACACGTTCTCAGAGAGGTCTCGCCATCTGCTGCCTCTCCTCCCCTTCCCTCCTTTCCAACGTACCCAGAGAGCATTACCTTGTGAAGTCTCCTCTTCTTTCTTTTCTTCATCTCATTAATAAGCCTCCTGATCTTTAGCTTCCTGTTCCCCTTATCAGGAGCATGAAAATCTTTACTCCCGCCTGTATCATCAGAGGGATTCAGTGCATCTCCATTCTGGTCCTCAGGGAGGGGTCGTTTGGGAGGACGGCCACGCTTTTTGGGGCTGGATTGAGACTGAGCGGCACTCTGCAGTATTGGGCTCGGCTCCAGTAGAGGGGCTTTCTGAACTCCATTACACCCCAGAAGAGGCTCCTCTGCTGGGATAGCATTCAGTGAAAGTCTAGATGGATGCTCATCTATACTAGAGCTGCTGGATTTGGGGCGGCCCCTTTTTCGGGCAGGAGTTAATGGGCATCTGGATGCAGGGGGGCTCAGATCTAAAGTTGGGTGCTTTGGGGATGGAGGTTTGGTTGCAGAAGAGATAGGGGAAGAGCTGCTACTTAAGGAGAGAGACGTTGGGTGCGAGTCATCGGTCGGCTGGAAAGTGGATTTGGCAGTAAGGGATGTCTTGGGGTTCTGGGGGAAACTTTGCGAAGGATTGTGTTGGGAATCTGAGGCGGCTTCATGATTTTCTGCCCTCTGAGCTCGGTGCACCAGCTTGGTCCAGCTGGGCCGCCTAGCTTTACGTTTCTTAAGTGGTCGGCTGTCTTGCTCTTGGGGGAAAGAAGGGGGAGAAATGGGGGCACGGGTAGAGGTGGTGGGCAGAGAGGGAGGAGTAGAAGAAGAGGGGTGGCTTGGAGGCACAGCTGAATGTCTTTCTTGTTCTTTTGATTTACTTGCATCACCTGTTGTTGTGGGCTCAGCTTGTTTAACTGACTTACAATTGTCATCTGTCTTGTCTTTCTCTTCTGCTCTGCCTGGATTCAGTACTTTACACGTTTTATCTGTTTTATCAACTGTTTCACCACATTTTGGATTATTGTCTTCTGCTCTTTGTCTCTCTGGACTAAGCTTATCTCTCTTTTTCTCAGCCTTTGCTCTTTCAGTCTTGAGTTCATCTATCCACATGTCATCACTCCTATGTCTTTCAACTTTTTCTTTACCATGCCTTGATTTTCCCTCTTTCCCTTTCTCCTTTTTCTTCTTCTTGCCCTCCCCTTTTTTGCTCTCAGTCTTCGCTCTTTCAGCTTCCAACCTATCTCGCTTGGATTTTTTGTCTTTCCGTTTCTCTTTCTTTGCTTTCTTGTCTTTCTCTCTCTTTTTCTCTAGTGGTGTCTGAAGAGAGAAGTTCTGATCTTGGGATTGGGCAGAAGAGAGCTCCACAGCGGGAGAGGACTGTGGTTTTGGGGTAACTGAGGGAGAGGAAGGAGAGTCTGGCCTACTCTTGTTGGACAGTTCTTTATGGGAGCTGGTGGAAACTGGGGGTCTTGCCGTAGAGTCCATGGAAGAAACAGAGGAAGAACTGCTGTGTTTTCCAACTTTAATTCTTGATGACGAGGACGTGCCAAGAATGTCGGCACAGCATTTCCCATTTGATAGACCCTTCTGTCTCGCTGTCTGTACCAAGCCATTATGTTTCTTGGTGGCGTTTCCTTCATTCCTGGTCTCCGATGCAGAAGGTGTCTGGATGCATTCAGTGGAAGGAGTAGTTGAAGCTGTCTGGTCTGTTGTGGGTGAGCAGGGTTTGTATCCTGCAGGAACAGGCTGGCCATTGACACTAGGAAGCTTCTCTTTCTTCACTCTCTCAGATGAGCCATTTGAATTCACCTCCGTCTTATTGGCCAGTTTGGTAGGAACCTGGGGAATGCAAACATACAATCTCTGTCATCGACAGCAAAGGCTGTGACATCCATTAGTTTGCTGTTGACAACAGTGAAGGACAATAGGGAAGAGACAATAACTGAAACGCTTTTGTTTTTGTCTGACCATTAAAAGAGAGTGAGGACAAAATGACTCAATCAGGCAGAGAAAAGAGGGCAAACTGTAGAGAAGGAAAGAGTGAGATGATGGAAACAGGAATGGGGCTGACACAGAAAGGAGAAATACAAAGGCAGAGAAACAGAGAGGAAGGGAGTGGGACAGGGACAGAAGGGGGAGTGAAAGATAAATGAGAGCAGGTAGAGAAAAGAGGGGATGTAAAAATAGAAGAGAGGGACAGATATAGAGAGCCTGGCAGAGAGGGAAAGAGAGAGAGAAAGCTGTGCTATTGGTAGCTATAAATTGCCACTAATACAGATGAGAAGGCTTGACATTTCATACTTGTCCTGTAATTTTGGTATGCTGCAGTCTGAGTGGTGTTTGTGCAGCTAAAGCAATAAGCTTCCCCTTGGGTGATTGTCATAAGGACTGATGGACCAATGTCTGTAATAGCTCCAAGTGGTTGCCGTGCTGTTGTCCTATTTATAGGTGTGTTTATTTAAATGTGCTGCGCTGTGACAATAGCTTATTTGACCTTATTATTACTGAGCATATAGTTAGGCCGATTTTGCGCCATAGTTATCTATAAAAACCAAAACAGAGCTACAGCACAGATATCCCATTACATCTAAACGCCTTCACTACCTGTAACTCTTAGTTTTTCACATTTTTCAAGTTACCTTGAGCTAATAACAGGTTTGATATCAGCAGCTGACAAGAAGTAATCTGTGCGTGTGTGAGAAAAACTGCCTTTGTCCTTAACTTACCTGTTTGGCAGACTTTGTCCCCTGGCTGGCAGTGGCAGGGACTGAGGCTGGGGTGGAAGCTGCAGCAAATGTTGATGATAATGACAGTGGCTGCGATGACGAAGACGATGATGATGACGAGGATAATGATGATGCCAGTTGTGGTGAAGCAGCAGATGCAGTTTGTTTGGATGTGGTCTGGACAGCATCCAAGCTTGAGCGCTGCTCTCTGGTTGTCTCATCTGGGGTAGAGCTGGTTTTACTCTGTTGCCCCACTCCCCCTTCACCATCCCCCCTCGGCAGTCCCCCCCTGCCTTGTCTCTGATAGGTCCTGATGGTGGGTTTGCAGACGTAGCTCTCCAAGATCTTGGGCGGTTTCTTGGTGCGTTTGGCCTGAAGCCCGATCCGGAGTCGCACATTCCCCTCAGGGCAGCTGGTCTCTTTGCCAGAGATCTGAAGCTGTTGCTGCCCTGCGCTTCCACAGCGCCCCTCGATGAGCAACTCCAGCACTGCCCCCTTGTCCCCTTCTCTCTTCCTTCCTACTCCCTTTTTCTCCTCCTCCTTTTTCCCCACATCTCCATTCTCCCCATCACCTCTTCCTCTCTTTTTCTCTGCCACCCGGTCCTGTTCAGAGTCCTCAGGAGCAGAGGTGGGGTCCAGAGTGGAGATTGTAGATGGAGGGGTTCCCCCCTTCACTCTCTGGTCCATCAGAGAAGTCAGGGGGGAGAAGCAGGATGCAGTGGGGTGCACAGTATAACACGCAAATGTACTTGGTGAAGTTGATGGGGTCAAGGGTCAATGAGCTGAATGCAGGTCTAGGTCAGGAGATTGCCAAAAGGATATCCTAAAACAGCCGGAGCAGTTGGGTGTCTTCATCCAGCCAAGGTCTCTCTCTTCTCTTTTCGGCTCAAGCTGAGAGGGAGTAAGGTTGAGGCAGAGAGAGAGAGAGAGAGAGAGAGAGAGAGAGAGAGAAGAGAAAGACAGACAGAAACAGAAAGATAGAGAGGCCAGTGATTAGTCATTTCAGTGAGCTCAGATGCAGAATAGCAGCAGTACGAGAATGGAGGGGAAAGTCCCCTTCCTGCAGGCAGCTGTAGAGAGGTGGTAAAGTGTGTGTCCACAGAGATGATCTCATCACACAGAAAACCCACGGGGCCAATCAACGCTGCCGTTTCCCAGAATGTCGGCACTAACGGGAAAGAAAGACCTACTCACATTCTTTCAAAATCACCGGCAGATATTTTTCTCCAATAATCCATAAACAACGGCAGCAAACGCTCCTTAAACCTCTACACTTTTACTTGTGTTCCAACCTTTATACCCTGACTCCTCTTTCTCAAATCAATATATCAATCAATCAGCTCCTGACTAATTCAAACACTTGATCCAGTTTCCTCCCCTCCTCTCCCCACTGCCTTTGCGCCTTCTGTTCTCAGCTACTCCCACCAGCACTTCTCCTCCCACCCTTCCCTCTGCTGTACTGTCTTTTCTCTCCGAAACTCCCCTCTTCATGTTTGGCAGAAAGCGTTTGCATGCATTCTCTATTAGTCCCATCCACTCTGCCTCTTGCTCTCTCCCTGTAGACCACACAGTAAAATGGTCAACTCATGCACTGTATCCATGTTAATCAGAACCATATTTCCTCCTCCGCTTCGTTCTTTTTCTCCTCTCCTGCCTAAATCCCTCCATTCACGGTCCGACCGTTCCCCTCCTCCCCCCTTTTTCAGTAGTGGTAACACAAATCCGTAGGAAAGGGTAAAACTTATTTTTGGAAAGGAGTGCAAATTCCTCCTCCTCCCATTGCTTCCTCTAAGTCAAGTAAGCTTTTCATTGACCCCATTGTAAATGGACTTTTAATGTGACATTGCAGCAGAGCAACACACCCTAAAATAACATTCTCCTCACCAGGAAAACTTTCACTCTCACTCGCACCATGTTCAGTCCAGTTTTCGACCCAACGTATCTGAGGGATAGGGAAGCAGCATCTCCTGTCATACTTCCTTCATTATTCTCTCTCATTAGAAAGACACTCATCCGTTTTCTAATCAAACACACCCTGCCAAGCATTCCTGCAAATTGCTCCTGAGAGCCTCTTATGAAATAGTTCATCTGTCTCTCAACACGTCAATCTGCCCCCTTAAACTTAGAACAGCATCTTGGATAATATTTTCATTCAAGAGCTCAGTGGGCTATCTCTCGTGCCTCCTGGTCCCCCCACACCCAAACCTTTTTTCCTTGAGTCACACTGAGCTCAAATCAACATCTGTTTCAATAACTTGCTGTTATGCAACCGTATTGGAAAGCATTTCCAAGGCCAAACCTCCTCCTCCTCACAGTGAAATAAAAATTAGCACAGAGATGGACAGTGTTCCTCTTAAATCACAGCGGCCACTTTTTATCATGACCTCTGCTCCAGAAGCCTGACCTGTATTAAGAGGTGCAAACTGAGGAGGAATCAGGGCATGAGGAGAAGCTGGAGTCATACGAGTTATGATCAAATTGTGCAAAGTGACTCTAAAAACAGAATTAGAGTGGCAGGTTTGCAAACCTAAAAGGACAAGTCCATTCAACGTGAGTCAAAGTGCATACTAATAGCTTTTTATACTCTCTACAGCTATACCTCTGAAACATAACTCAGAATTATTCTAACATTAGAGCAGAAGCTTTTCCCAGTGACAGGATGATGGGTGGACTTGACACTGTAGTCCATGTTGGCTCCTTGGCAGCGCTGAGGCGACGATTAAATCATGATAATGGCCCACCATATTTCCAGCCAACATCAGCATCCCATGACGGTGTTATCATCAATAACTACAGCACTATAGTCATCTGCCTGACAACAGCAGGAGCACGGCCGCGCTGCCCCCTGGAAATCAGGCTGCTGTGTTGGCATCTCACATATGAACCATGAAGCCTCACACAGTAGGTGATGCTCCATATGTACGAGGATGTTTCGCACTTCAGTCTCCCTCCTCCTCACACACACACACACACACACACACACACACACACACACACGCACACGCACGCCTCACCTTGAAATTTAACGATTTATGTTATGGGTACTTGATTTTTGTCCCCATAAGGAAGACAAGTCTCAAGTCATTTGCTGGAGATTTACTCTAACCTTATCTGTAATTAGGCTACTACTTGCCTCACTCTAATCCAAACCCTACATGCAAACCTAATCCTAACCCTTACTCTAATCGAACCTAATTTGGATTGTATATGAACCAATTAACCCACCTATCTTCTTTTTTTTTTTTTTAATTTCCATATCCAAACCCCTGCCCTGTGCCCTAACCCTCACCTTAACCCACTGCCCCATCCCCTAATGCTAACCTTAACCCCTTGGCCTGTCCCCTAACCATAACCTTAACCCCCTACCCCAGCCCTTAACCATAACCCCTTGCCTCGTCCTCTAACCCTAACTTAACTTGCCTTACCATCAACCCTTACCTTTACCCTAACCTAAACTTAACCTGAACCTTAAGTCATGTCACCTTAGAATTAGAAGAAGGAAGCCAAGTCTCCATAATGTGACTGAGTAAACAGACCTGGACCACACGCGCGTGCGCGCACACACACGCAGGCACACACACATTAGTTGGTGTATTAAAAGTGTGTTGGTCGTACATTGTGTACCCAGGTCGCAGCTGCGTAGGCTGACTGATGTTGCTACTGTAGATACAGTACGGGCAGCAGTGGGGGTGTTAACCGCACTGGAGCAGCCTCTCGCTGGTTTACTGAGCACGTCAACAGGAGCTCCCTTCTCCATGATGACTTTGCGCACCCGCTGAAAATCACTCTGCTGTCGCACTTACAAATGATACACACATGCACGTGTTGTTGTTGTCGTCACTCCTATACCTCCATCAAGAAATACATCGCACATCCGAGCTTCTCTCAACACACACACACACACTCATAGTTGCACGTTGAAACTCAACATGGAAGTGGATTAGGAGGGGGGGGGGCGGTGTACGTAGCATGAAAATGTGCTTGCTCTTGCAGGGTTTGTGTTGTGGATTAGTCCCTAGACACCTCTCCTTTTTTCTCTCCCTCTCTTCTACCCGTCTGTCCTCTGCTGGCTCTTCTGCTGGTGTCAGCAACATTGAAATAAGAAATATTACCAGGC